TTTATTTTTAATCTTTCCATGGAACCGTAAAGCAATCCTATACAATGCCAAAATCTATTAATTAATTAATTAATTAATAACAGTCTTGTTTCCCTTTAGGTTTTGCTTCAGATTTTTTTTTTAAATGACTCAGTAAGAGGCACAGGCAGACACAAATATCACATAAATCTTTTCAATGATCTGGTAAAGAACCAGGAGCTGCCTTCTCTCCTTTTTACAGATGAGCACAAGTGACCAGAGGTAAATGAAGTACAATGATGTCGAAGGCCAACAGGGAGTCACAGAGAGAAATAAGACTGCAATTCATTTCGATGTTGTATTAATACCAAAGAATGAACAGCCAGAAGAGATTGAGTCTAAAATGGTAAATATATTGAGTATTATAAATGTCCTCTATCATTTAAAAGATGATTTTAATGTACATTTAAAATGACTGTGCAAAGAAGAGGAGGCAGCATATTCTCCTGGAACAGAATGCATCAGCTACCCTTCTATCACACTGCTTTCTCTACTTTAAAAACTGTAAGACTTGAAACATCATGGGGAGGAGTGTGCATCAGAGGGGAGTCCTAAGAAAAACCACGGTGGGATCAAAGCCACAGCTGCAGTGAGTTTAGGTAACCTTGCCCCTTGCTCTCTCTACTCTGCACAAAACTAAAATGATGGCTGCTCATACCCAGATTATCATTAAAATACTTGTCTTGCTATTCACGAGGTAACTTGCCACTTGTGTCAACTGTCAATTCTCTATTATTCACAGTGAAAAAAAGGAACCTTAGCGTGGATTATTTCAAAATCGTTTTAGTTTGGAAAATTTAATTTTAAAAATGATTTGCTTTCCCGATTACATTTGGCATCAGCTGATGTCCAGAGGAGACGGCAGACATTTACTCTCTTGCAGGGGAATGTTCGGCTGGGGTTAAAAAAAAAAGTCATGAATAATTTCAAAAAGTGAAGAGATCACCTGCAGACAACAGGGTCTGTGGTTTATTTCCCAAGCACTTTCGTGAGTGTTTGTGCATGCACATAGATACAGCACTTTTATTAAAGAAAACGCAATATACGAGTATTTGTGCTCTCGAGCCGACTCCCTCAAGCCGCTGTTTCAGGGTAACACGACTTCATCCAAACCACTGTCCTCCAAGTGTCCAAGCGACCGCAGAAAATCATGGAATCTGAATTTCGTTCAGCTAGTTTCAGCTTCTTTTCGGAGATGCATGCCAGGAAGCTTATCTACCCTTAAAATATAATTATTTTCCACAGTTCTACTCACAACTTTTAACAATATTTCAAAATCCTACAGCACTGTATTCAAATTAATCTGTTTGTCTCAAAAAGACAAAGCAAGGAATAAAGACTAAAAGAAGTGATTACGAACTCAAATCCAAAAGGTTTTTCATTCACAGAAAAGTACTTGTGAATTGAAAGGGTAAGTTGATTCTATAAATTGCTTTTTTTAAATTTGTTTTTAAGCCGGCATCTGAGAGTCAATACCCCAAACTCCAGGGGTGGCGTCGAGCAGCGGTGTCCTTAATCAGAACACATTTATCTACTTGATACTGAAATTTTGTTTAAAATTACTTTTGATTTAGGAAATTTGAAATAGTCTCTTTATAAATTTAAATATATAAATATTAACATGTACATATGTTAGTAACAGTCCTACAGCCTAATTTATCCCATGTACATGTATGTACATACACTACCTTATAAAACTTATTGGCAATAGTTGCCAATGGAAAACACTAATGTGAATAATTCAGCAAAATCATTTTTGCTACTTCCGTATCCATCATCTGAATAGCACCACATTCAATTTTCCATATCAGTTTCCATCATAACTCATTACTGTGTCTTTGAAAACAAACATAAGAACAAGAATTTCAACACCTCTGGAGAACAGTGCGTTTTTTCTATGAGCCCTCTAAATCTTTCCTGATTTTCAAAGGCAGATTTTCCAGAAATGATTTACAAATAATCCACCTTGCCTATGGAACAAGTAGAATTCCTATGAATAAGCATGTCTTCTTTACATGAAATCAGGCTACAGTGAATTGAGAAAACCTTGGGGCTCGTTTAGTCTTATTTTCACTTTTGTAGATTAATGAATTATTAAATGTCTGCAATAATTTATTCTGCAATGGCAATAAATTTTTTTATTTTAATTCTGTATGCTTAAAGTAAATCAGAAAAAATAAATAGATGATTATTTAATTTTCACTTAAGGAAAAGAAGACTGAAGACTAAGTTTCTAATATGCTCACTTGAAGCTGCATCCTACAGTTTCTTGTTCCTGTATTTCTGAAAGGCGAATATTTCAGCAGCATCAATAAGGATGGGGGGAGGGGAGAGAATCAGACTTATTCGGCCTCAGGATGGCACTACATAATTACCTAGTTTGATCAGTTGCCACTTCACTTCCAAACATCTCAATCAATCATATTTTTCTATCACAATGGATAAAAATTCAGCTCAGCTTCATTTCAATTCTAGTATTTTTCTCCACAAAAGGACGTGGCATCCTGCCTTTTGAAAAGTCTTTCTAATTTTCATTCTATTATTGAAAATAAGAGTACTAAGAATTTTGGTCACCACATAATTAGTGGAATAAAGAAGATAAAGAGACCCTAAGTAGTCAAAGAAATCCTCTTCGTACTTGAAAGAAGAGAGATTTTTCCACTTGTTTCTTCATAACAGTACACATTTTTAGATCACTCGCTAAACAAGTGAGAAGCCACAGTATACAAAAGATAATCCTCCCATTTTCCAGCTATCTTCCTGTGAGTCAGCTCAATGTTTTATTTTCTGTGACCATTATCTCTGATAAGTTACAATTTTCTCACAAACCCAACGTCAAACTTTAAGGATCTGGTAGTACAGTTAAGTAAATATAATGAAATATATTCCATAGAACCACTAAGTAATGGAGAGCATATAAGAAATTCAATTCAAAAAGAAAGAAGAAATTCAACTCATTTGTAAAATAAATCAATCAATTTTCAATTTGAAGACGCAAGTGGAGCTGCAACCTCTTCAAGGAGCAGATATTTGGAGAGAGAGCAAAATAAACAGACATATTTTATACATACTTATACACAGATGTACCATTGAAAAATAAAGGATAAGCGAGGTTCTGGGGTGCACTCCCAGTATAGTCCATGTAACCCCATGGCAATGACAGTGCTGACACAACTGATAATTTGGGGAACATCGGGGGTTGGGGCCCAATGGTGACAGAAACAGAAAGTCCTTTACAGAAACTCACAGAACATACACGGAGTAGAATCGAAAGGAACCTCAAAAGAGTATCGGGTCCATCCCTCCTTCCTTGGCTGAACTAAACATCAAGCTCTTTCCACGCTGACAGTGTGGAATTTGAAGTCAGTAGCATTAGAGAAAAGCGTTATGGTGTGGGCTAAGAGCATCCTTCCTTTGTAACCTTTCCCCATCTCATGATGGACTTTTAAGAGAATGTAGTTCATTCCCTTTGAAAACGTCAGGGTGCTTCCGAGGCAAGAGAAAAAAGAGATGAGAGTGGTCATGTAATTGTGGATGTTATGTATACATGTGTGAGAAAGTGCAAAGGAGATGTTTGCATGTAGTATGTATGCCCAGATATAGTTTATTTCCCTTAAGACCTGAAAAAAATCCTGTGATTGCAGACTTCGTATTCCTTTGAGAGGATAGCTGAAATGTTTGACATTTCAAAGCCCAGGAAGCATTCTGGAACTGCAAAACTAGCAAAACTGTCCCCGTCAGAGGGCAGTAGGGGGCCAAGACGGGCCAAGGCTTCCCTCGCTTCCACCCAGGCCTGGCCCCACTGTCAACCTTTACCCTACCGCCTGCACTGGGGGCAGGGGCAATGGAGGGCACCGAGAGAGCGCAGCGCGGCGGCAACGGGCTCCCCTGATGAAACAGAGAACCCCGCACGGATCTGGGGGCAACGAGCCGCTTTCATGGGTTGACAGCTGAGCTGTTCGAGGTGTTGTGCTGTTTGGCAAACTGGCTTTCGGTTTGGCTTCCTACAAAAGGAGCGGAAGGGGGAGCTGTCGTGGTTCCCAGTGCCCACAGAGCCCCATCTCCTGGCCGCCGCGCGCCGGCCACAGCGGGTGCCAAGTGTGCGCGCTCGTGTCTCTGTGTGTGTCTGTTTGTGTAACTGTTTGCATGCGACTGTCAATCTATCTGTCTGTGTGACAGAGAAACGGAGATGCCGGTGGAAAGTTCCCTCTCGCAAAAATGCCCCCGGCGTCTTCCTTGTGGGCACCCAGGTCGCCCGTGCCTCCGATGCTGTCGTTGTCACTTCATTATTCTGCTGTCTCCTGGATTTTTTTATTTACAATCCTACAGGAGTGAGAAATACCGTCTTTTGAACTTCTCTGGGACCTCACATCTTTGAAGGGAGAAAGTGGTTGGGAGGGAAGCAGAACCTGAAAAGGGTAAATTCCCCCTCCAGATTGTAAAATGTAATGGTTAAGAGCCCAGGACCCGGAGTCCGACAGTTCGGGTTGGAATCCCGCTCTGCCACTTACACTAGCGGTGTGACTTGGGCGAATAGCTTCTACTCCGTGCCTCAATTTCTGCCTTTACAGAACGGGGACGGTGACAGCGCCTAGCTCAGAGGGTTGTGAAGATTAAATACATGTAAAACTTTTAGAACAGTGCCTGACACACAATCGTTGCCATGTGTTAGCTATTAACATCATCCTGGGCATCGCCGTGTTAGATTTGGAGAAGGATCATTCTGGCCACTTTCCCCACCGGTTCGCACTAGATCCTGGTGCATGTCCCATGTCCCAAAGCAAGGACAGACCCTAACCCGCCCTTTCCACGCGCTCCAGTACCAGCAGCCACCCAGCCACCCCCGCCCGCGCAGACCTGCTTCAGGGAACCCCTCCCCAGCTGTCGTGCGCGCCACACCTGGGAGCGCACTCGAGGGGCTCAAAGGCAAACGACGCGCGCAAGAGTGCCAGCCGAAGAGTGTATTGGGGGTGTTTTCCTACCTGCCCCAGGTTTTTGCCCTTCTTACTGCCGCCGAAAGCCAGTCCTTGGTATGTCCCCGCAGATCGATTGGCGGCCTGTGCAGGCGTCTCCCCGCCCAGAGAGGACTTGATGGAGTTGAGTTTGGCCCGCGAACTGCCGAGCTGTGAGCTCTCCGCCATCAGCACCGCGGCCAGAAGGAGCAGGCAGCGGGACGAGTCCTTGCCCCACATCAACGCGGCCATCTCCCGGCGAGAGGTCCCCGGGGAGGCGCAGAGCGAGGAGAGATGCGGATGCAAGGGGAAGGAGGACCCCAACTCGGGGCCCCTCACTTGGGGCTCGGGGGCTCGCAGACTCTGTTCCCCTAACCCCACTTGGCTTTGGGGGCCCAGCCCCGGGTGAACTCAGTCTCACGCCTCAGACCTGGAGCGAGCGCGACCCAAACCAGACCCGCTTCTCCACTGGGGCAGGAAGTTCTCAGGAACTGGAAGCAATCAAAAGCGACGCGCCTTCCAGCCAAGAGGGCGTGACCCGAGGTGCAAGAAGACCCAGCCCCGCGGACCGCACCGCTTGCGTGGCTCCTTGCCCCGCACCTCCGCGGTCCCGCCCGGGTCTCCGCGGCCCAGGCCTCCTCCTCCGAATTGCTCAGGAGTCTACACGAGCTCCTTCTTCTCCGGCCTCAGTCGCTTTTCTCTCCTCTGTTCCTTCCCTATCCTTTATATCTCAACCTCTGCAGGACACAAGTCCTCCTTTTCAAAGTTAGCGGGCGCTAGAATGGGGGATCAGGAACCGCCTCCAGACCGGACCCTGCAGGTCTGAGCGAGCCGCGGTCCCCACGCGCGCGCGCAAGGTCGCCCCACAGCGTTGTCCCCGGGGTGCACCCGGCAGCGATGCCCTGGCAGCGGCCCTGCGCTGGCCAGGCCTCCCTCTCTCGGTCTGCTCTCTCACCGCCGCCCCCTGTGCTTTTTATAGCTTCCCACCGTGGGGTTTTTTTCCTCCGCCCCCAATTCAAGAGTGACAAAGAGTGAAAACGTCTCCCTCAACCCCCACGTTCCCGCCCCCTCTTCCCCTTCCCCCGCGGCCGCTCCTTCTGCGGCTTCCCCTCCTGCTTCTGCCTCGTCCCCCTCCCGCTCCTCTTCCGCCCCACAACAACTGAGAAAGTGAGATTCACCCCCAGAGGAGCAGGAGGGCTCCTAATTCCTGACAACAGCTCCAGTGGGTGGAAGGGCCTTTGGCAACAGGAGGAGGGCAAATGTGGAAGTGGAGAGGGGCAAGCTGCCCCCGTGCTTCGGCGCCGCCAGCACCGTTCCTTGGGTCCCCAACCCATGTCCAGGCCCTGACACCGGCAGGAGCACTGCAAAAGCCCTAGAGAAGTGTTAGGGAAGGGAGCGTCCGGGCGTTAATACCGTGTCTGTGCGCACTCACGCTGGGTTTGAGCCTGTGCCTCCCAGGGGATGTGTGAGGCTGGCGCTGTGTTGGTGCGCCAGGGGGTGCCCAACCTATCCGGATGGGGAGAAGAGGACAAGAGAAGGGGAAAGATGCTCCTAGTCTCCTTGCGGGGAGACTTTCTAGTTTAGGACTTTCTAGTCTCCTCCTTCTCCGCCCTCCAGCCCACACCCACCGCACCGCAGACATGTCTATGTCTCTGCGGGGCTGGAAGGAACCGGTTTCCCCCGGGGACGCTCTGAGCGTTTGAACCTCACAGCTCTACCCGGCAACTTTACCGCGCCAGGCAACTGGACCCTTCGCGAAGAGGAAACACTAGACAAGAATGGACGGGGGTAGGGGAGCCTTTGAGGTCCAGCCTTCCTTGGCTTCCTGCCTCCTAGCCCCTGGGAATTCCTTGGGAAGACTTTCCTGCCAGACACCAAGGCCCCCAGGGCCGGTTCCCTTCTGCGAAGGTGGAAGGAGTCTCCCGGAGCGGCGAAGGCGCGCGGGCGCGCGGCGCTTGGGGGCGCGGGTGGCAGCTGCCGGGCGAGGCTCGGAGGAGCTGCAGGAGAGACGCGGTCCCAGCAGGCTTGGCTTGGAGAGGTTTGGCCATCAGGCACCGAGGCTTCCAAAGCAGTGAGAGCGGTGGTTTGGAAGTTGTTGCCTTTCTCCTGCGCGCGGAGAAATCGAGGCAGCGCGGCACAACTTGGTGGCTCAGAGCCAGGGGAAGGGGCTGCTCTCTAGAATTAGGGTGGAATCTAGAGTGGAGCCACACTCTAGAATTTTCGGACCTGAGCTCCTCTGCTTTCACACCTGATCCCGGCAGACACCAGCATGTGCAGTGGGATACAGTCAACCTGTGGTCGCCAAGTACGAACGTTAGTGATCTTTTCCTTTCCCCAGAAAAGGGCAGAGTTCTAAAGCGTGGGTTCTCTCAGAGAGCACCAGCTTTCCACATTTCTCTGCCCTGATCTATGAGTCTGTCTGCCGTGGAATTCTTCATTTTCAGAAAAAAAAAATTTTTTTTTTTTAATACACAAGCAAAAGCGGACTGAAACTTGAGGAGCCCTCTGTCATGTTGTCTTCTCTCTGGATTGCCTTGTGCTTCCTTAGGGTAGAGATTTTCACGTTAATTTTTTTTTTCTCTTTTTAAAAATACGCGCAGGAACGGCTTTGTAGGGGTAAGCTGAAGCATCCCAGACACTGCAGAGGGCAAGGAAACCGATCCAGATCCTACAAATAAGCAGTGGGATGCTGTGCTTAGACCTTACACAGAGTGTATCTTTTGCCTTCATTCTGATTTGCCAATCAAAAAACATTAGAGAAAAGGAGAAAATTAAGTTAGGGGTCCTCTGGTTCAGATATTTTTCACGAGTATTTTAGAGCACAAAAAAAGACAAGAGAGAGCTAAATATGTAGGGAAGCAGTCACTCTACATCCCCTGGAGGGGTGTGGATGTCCACCACCTGCTGGAGAAGAAACTCAGGTGAACCAAGACAAAGTGGGAAGATGCTTTGCCTGTTTCTGTCAGTTCCCTCTTTCTTTACCTCCAACCAAGATAGGATCCCACCTAGTCAGACCTACCACTTGTGAGTGACACGTGCTAATAAAAAGTAATGTCAACCTCAGCGAATTCACTCTCAAGAAAGCCCTCGGCTCTGGGTCTCGCGATAAAGAGATTATCCCAGAAGCTCACACCACACCCTATAAGCTCCCAAAGCAAACTGTACAAATACAGTTAAAAATCAAAGTCCACGTGATGTTCGCTTGCAGAGACATTCTCACGTATGTATAAAACAAAATCACACTTATGGAATCAAGTGCTAAATCATAGACAATTACACTTCAGGCTAAAAAGGAGGTAGAGACTAATTTCACTCATGATCCGAATGCTCTCTGTACAACTGTGCGACAGACAGAAACAGACACACATAACCTGTATGTAGAAAAGTAAATATGCATACCCCAAATCGACTACCACAATAAACAGAATCCTTTGGATTACTGTCATAACCCCACATGTGTTTTCTCATGTGTGTTTTCATAAGTAGGAAGATACAAGCTTCATATTCCACTTGGAAAAACAGGTTTTTTATGCCTTTTACAACAACATCATTAGGGAGTAACCATATAAAAGCAACGTGTACATAAGTAAGGATAGGATGAAAACGCCTCCGTGGACGTCTTTCCCTTTGGCCATACTTTCCCTCTTCTCTCTACTCCTCCAGCTGCGGGGTCATTTTGGTTCCACAGAAAAACCACAACCATCTCAGCAGTTGTTTCTGGATCCTGGTTTCCTTCTGAATATGTAGCCCCAAGGTAAGCTAAGTGTACATCTCGTCGCTTTATTCTTGTCTTTCATCCCATTATCTCTCTCCCTGTATTAGTAACCACTTCCTACAATAGTCTACTTAGCAGTTGTTCATGTATTCATTGCACATTTATTAAGTTTAGGGCCTTGACGATACAAAGGTGAGTAAGTCAGGGCCTCGGCCAGAGAGAGGCTTGCAGTTCACTGTCAGGGCCTTGCCTCGCTGAAATCTGCCTCTGGCCGCTCTCGGGAGTCGCTGCGCTGAGCCTTCCTCTGTGCTCATCCACTACTCATTCTGCCAGTCTCAGTCTTTCCTAGGGTATCGGGAACTTCTGAGCTGGACTGAATTCATGTGACTATGGGAATAAAAATTCAGAGATGTCCCCAGAGTCTCTCCTTTCCTTATAAGTTGCAGGTACATTTTAGTAGTGTACAGGGAGACGGTACTACATTTGTGGTTGAACCCAAAGAAATGACACTAGTTGTGGTCATTTTAGGTTAGTAAGAACAGAATTATGATCCCATGGCAAACTTGGGAAGGGAAATTACATTTTAGTAGGTCCTATAGGACCCCAAATCATCTTGTCCACACAGGATGAACGTGAAAGACCTTCATCTTGTTGGATGTTAAAGGATTTGGAGAATATGGTTGTGTGGGTTTCTTCTCTCCATAGTAAACCAGGCTACCCGCTTCTCTATTCTCACACTTGGGATCTTATCACATGAGACTTTTATGTTTCTCATTCTGTCTTAGGAACAACAGCACCATGTGTTGTTGCCAATTACACTTTAAATAATTTGTAATAAAGGTAAGTTAGCACCAGTATTGTGAACATTTTTTGTGTTTCTTGATAGGACTAATTTCCATACCAGATATGAAAAATTGCATCTCCTATTTGACCCCCGCCGTAGTTTCAGCTGTTAACTCTTTTCTGCCCTGATCTTGTGGACAATAGGACCAGCTAATGAGCGAAGGTCTCATCACTCACATCTCTAGCTGTGCTTGACACAATGTGCACAAATGAGATGGTTCAAGGGATTTCACAGTAAATCAATCAGAAACATAATAATTGCTTAGCCAATGGCTTGGTTTTTGACTCTTGACATATTGATCATCTTCTCAGTACTTTGTCTGCCACCCAAATGAAAGACAATTACCGAACAGATCCCTCCCCTAGAGCCTGAGCCCAACTAATAAAAAGTGTGCAAATAATATAGTCAGAGACTCAGGTAGACAAACTTCTATTGATTCTTGTGCATGTGAGTGACCTTAGGTGGAGATGAGATTAGAAACAATCTCCAAATGTTTAACACCAAACTCTTCCCTTCATGATGCACAGTTTCCTATACGCTGCATATCCTTCTTGGTGGTCCACTTACTCCCATTGCTGAGTTCTGGCAGGCTGTTTCAAGATTCATCTTTGGAAACAGTCCTATACTTGGCAGTGAAAGAGAGGTTCTTAATTCTTGAGAGAGGTTCGTTGCAAGAAATCTCATCTTGATGAGGAACAAAACAAACAACTTTTAGATAATCTGAACCAGTGGTTTCCAAATTCTGTGCCTTACATCTCTAGGGTTCTATACAAGTCCCATGAGGAAGTTAGAGCTGCCGTATTTTTGACAGGACCTCATGGGATAGGGGTCCAGCAACATGCATCTTTAAATGCCTGTTTTTGTTATTGTTTTTACTGGGGAGAAGGTTGTGTTGGTTGGTTGGTTTTAATCTGTTAACTGCTCAGGTTTGGAAGCCACAGTGAGTTGGGCAACATATTCTATGAGCCCTCAACCTGTCAACAGCAAGATGGATGGATTTCTATCCTGTTATCATTACAGATTATTCCCAAAGAAAACATTACTCAAATGGAGAAACTATTGAAAATCTGGCAGTGTATTCAGTCAGAAGTGATTGGTCATTTGAAGAAGGGAATAACAGAAAATGGAAGGGCAGACTAGCTAATGCAGTCCTGCTACAATGTGTTTGTCCTGGTCATTGATCCGAACCGATGACTAAGGAACAGGGGAAAACCTTATCTATAAAATAAAGTGTGGCACAGATAGAAAATAATGGGAAAACTATTTGCAGAAAATAAAGAAATAGGTTCCCAAGTGGCAATTTAAAATCTGTGTTTGAAGCATAGTTGGGCATGGTAATAGGAAATGTAAATTGTGTTTAGTTTATCTTCAAATGATCATTTTTAAATAGACCCTACTTTTTGGTACTCTAGGAATAAGCTACAATGCTCAAAAGC